GCGGACGGCAGCAAGGCGGCAGCAGGCGCGGGCGAGCTCGCGGCCAGGGGGCGCGTTGGGCGGCATCGCGGGCAGGAGCGGGCGGAGCGTGCAGGGTGGGCGTGATGCAGGCGGGGGGCGAGCGGCAGGGCCGCAACCGCGGGCGCGGGGTGAGCGGTGGCACGGCCGGCCGGAGCGGCCCTAGGCGGTGACAAGCAGGGGGGCGGCGCTCGCGGCGACGGCCTACAGCGGCAACAGTAAGCAGGCAGCAGCACGGTAGTGGTGGTGGCCGAAGGCGGCGGGGCGTGCGTGCAGCAGGGCGCACGGGCGCAGTCAGGAGCTCGCGGAGGGGAGCTCCGGTTATGGCAGTGGTGGTGGCTTATGGCGATGAATCGAGTGGGGAAAGGAGGGGGTCGGACGAGGCTCACCAAGGGGAGGTCAACGGCGAGCTTGAGACGGGTCGGGGGCTTGCCGGAGCGCAGGACGACGACGAGACAGCGGCAGGGGCCAACGGAGCCGAGGTTGAAGAAGGGGACCAGTGCGTCGCCCCGATGCGCCTTTGGTTGGGGTCTTCACGGGAGAGGTTGAGGGTGACGAGGGGGCCTCACGGACAACGTCCGACGCGACGGGGGAGCGCGGTGGCCGCGATGACGACCACGGCGGCCATGGCGGCCACGGCTCGGGCAAGTACATTTTTTTAAAGAGAGCGAGCGAGGTAAAGGGGGGAATCGATCTAGGGTTTGTCCATGGGGCCGCGGGGGTGCTCTAATCCACCACGGGGCTCGTTGGATTGCCGACACGACGCCATCGGTGGCCATGGCGGCCTGGATGGCCGCCACGATCTCTTCTCTGTAGCTAGGTAGGGGAAGAGTGGGGGAGGTGGGCTGGGCCCTACTGTTGCACATAGAGCCCACTAGTGCAGTACTAACTAGACCCTTTTCATTTTTTTTGTCTTATTTCTTTTAGGTGTTATTTTCTAATTATCTTGCATAGTAAAAGGTTCTTGTAAAATGTGAAACTTGTCACATAAATTTGATGCAATACTATGCCCATGCTCCAAAGGGTTCTAGTCAATTTGGATTTAATTCAAAATAGGTTCTGAAATTAAATGGGGCTATTTGGTGCTATTGGTCCATTGTTTAAAAATCCAATGGGCATTTTAAACATCTCCAAAAATGTTTGTTTAATGTAGAAACAAATATGTAGTGAATATTTGCAACCCAGCGAACATTTAATTTTGCAAGTTGGAGAAATATTATTCTTGACTTTTGTTTTAACTTTTGAATTTGAACTCGGTTTGGATCAAAGTGAGGTTTAGCAAATTAATTGTGATGACATGGCACCATTAGTGTGTCATTACTATAGCTTATTTATCCGGGCGTCACAACGGCTCAACAGGCGACCAAAGTTTTCTATCTACTGTGGGCCTGCCAAACTGATCCAAATCTGAATGGTCGGAGGTCGTTTATGAAGTGCCACCACGAGTTAGACCACCTCCCCCCAATGAAGAGGATTATGAACCTCACATTAACCCAGACACATATGAAGGTGACTTCTTCCAAGAAACACGTCTTTCCAAAAAAACGCTTCAAGAAACGCTCTATTCACCCCAGAACATTGAATTAGACAGCGACAGTGAAGCCGACTTCAGCCCTAAGCCGGAACAAGAAGAGCATGAACAAGAAGAGGTTACTCTTGCGGATGACTTGTCAATGCTCGACCGATTACGTAAAGGTGGCCTTCCACATGTTGATGCCACTTAACCCGATGAGCACTTCATTCATGATAGTGATGATGATGATGATGATGATGCATTTATTGATCCCGGAGCATTTATTGAACCCGATGATCAAGATTATTATTAGGTATTCATTTTTATGTTGTACTTGATTTATATAGTTACTTGTATGATTGTATGATTTATGATTTATGTAGTTACTTGTATAATTTTCTTACTTTGTATGATTGTTTGTTATACATAGTGCCATGGTCTTGATATATGTCCCCGTCGGCCCTCGCCCGGTTTATGATTCAGATGTGGTATATTCTCTTTTATAACTATTTGTTGCATTTCGCATTTATGACAATTATGGCCATCAAGTTGGCATAGAGATATTTTTATCTAGAAGGTATGTGAATCAAAAATTGCAACCGACCCTCCTGTCGAGAAGTTAAATTTAGTTGAGAAAAATGAGTATTTGAAAGAAAAAATGAAAAGAATTGAAGAAGAGAAGATGAAATTGGAGTTGTATGTTGCTGATGTCATCAATGATCACAAGATGAAGATGAATGCAATGCGCTTGAAGATTAAGAAGATTAGAAAATATGCCATTGATAATGAGGCTTGGTATCATTATGCCGTTGGATCAATTGTTACCTTAGTTGCGATCTTGATCGCATTTATTGTGATGAGAGTAAGTTTTCTCTAGTGTTTTGCATAACAAATGACATAGTTAGCTTATTTAGTTCATTTATGACATACGTAGCTTATTCATTTCAAAAATGGCATAATAACCTTGTTCTCTCATAGATGTCATATATTTAGCTTATTTTTCTCCAAAATGGTTCATGCTTCTTCTTCTTCTAGTCTTCTTCTTATTCTTCTTCTTCTTCTAGTCTTCTTCTCCTCCTTCTTCTAGTCTTCTTCTTCTTCTAACTTTCTTACTCCCATTTTTGCAGGTTTGATTCACTTCATGGGAGCAGCATTGATGGACTACTGGTGTTTAGTTTTTGTTTTCATTTGTATTGATGCACAATGTGAAACTATGTATGTATATATGGATGAACTCCGTGAAACTATGTATGTATTGGATCCTTTAATACCCTATGTGTTATTGCATTGATGGGCTGCTAGATGTTTGATACATGGGCTATGTTTGAGGTTGAAACAATATATATCATATATATCTTTTGAAAATGTAGGGATATAACAGAAAACAGAAAAAACAGAAACAATACATGCACTTTGTCGTCCGCCACCGATGGCAAAGTGGTCTTTGCCGTCTGCCACCGACGGCAAAGAGGCCACGTGGTAGCAACCTGTGCAGTCTGGGAGCTGACCCATTTGGTTACTTTGGTTGTGGGACTTTGCTGTCTGCGGCGGGCAGCAAAGGCTGGGGGGGGGGCATGACACGTGGTTGACGTCATACAACATGTTTGTCGTCTGCTGGCAGACAACAAATCCTCCCGTTAGCCACCTAACGTGGCTAACGCCGGTTTTTTGCCGTCCTTGTTCTTTGCCGTCTGCCACCGACGGCAAAGAACCTCTTTACCGTAACTTTCTTTGCCAGGTAGCTTTGCCATCGGTGGCAGATGGCAAAGAGGCTTGCCGTCCGCTTTTGGGTCATTTGCCGTCCGCCATGGCAGACAGCAAAGAAGTTGATTCTTGTAGTGAACGGCTATGGTTTCTAAAGTAGTTGGTTCGACCATGTGTCGAGCTCTGCGCATTGGATTAGATCATGGCACCACTTATAATGTTGCATTGTTTTTTATTGCATTTTATCATCGACTATGGGTCGATAATGGCAATGGAGATTCATCGATTTGCGTGTTGATTGAAGGTTGTATTTTGTGTGGAGTATGGGCTTGGTTGGGGGAGGGGGGACGTATCTGGTGCACCAAGGCAATTGGTACTACCGGTGCACCAAACCCCGTTGCACGTTCAAAAATGTTTTAAAAAATCCGAAAAAATTAGTGCATCAACACAACATCAATGTAAGTTGTCACAAAAATTCAAAACAATGCTCAAGATACAAAAATGACAAATTTGACGACAATGTGCTAATGGGCGAAAACTGAAGCCCAACTTGTGTTCTGTACTATTCAATGTCAAAATTGTCATTTTTATATCTCGAGCAATGTTTGGAATATTGATTTTAATTTTTGTCACAATGTACATTGATGTTGTGTCAATGCACTAATTTTTTCCGGATTTTTTCGAACAATTTTGAATGTGCAACAGGCA